AATTGTTCCAGCCAAAACCGTTTTCCCGCCCAGTGGAAATGGGATTGAATGCGCCTATATATATATATATATTTTTTTTTTCTTTTTAGTTTTCTGGAATTATCAGTAAAAACAACTGCAATCCAATCAGCAACGAAATGTCAATCTCGGATGTAAACTGGGTAGACTCAGAGGATGCAGTGTACTCCGTGAACGAAGAAACTTAGTGTCGTGCATGGCGCTGTGCCAATTTTGTGCATCCGCGGATGACGACGGGAGCAACGCTGAATTGCGGTATCATGACAGAAATATACCCATGCAAGTCCTCATCAGGCAAAGATATCGGCTCCTCTACTCCAACAAATGTATATTTGGTAGTCAACACACTTCACCGACTGCTTCTACTATTTGAGCCCTTTATCCGTCACAACTGAAGTCATCCAAATTCCTCACCAGTATGTCTAATCCTACGGCTGCTATAAATTGAAGCAGCACTTCTTTGATGGCAAGTCGCGTCTTAGATTCTTCTTTCCAGATTTTTTAATGATTTCCCCCCCCAAAAAAAACATGCTTTTTTAAATTCTGAATGCTCAAAAGACCAGCTCCCGTGTGACTTTAAAAATTTTTTTCTCTCATCACTTCTCAAAAAACAACTACCCTTACAAAGAAGGAGTCTAAAGAATTTAAGAAAGCCTAGAATATGACCCCGCACCCATAATAGTACCATGCACGGCAACCACTTATTAAGCCATCAACTGTCTTTGAAAAAAAATTTTTTTCATGAATCTTTACCAAAAGTACTCAGCGTGAATCCTGCCAGCCAAAAAATTTCCGAAAGAGAAGTTCTGAAAAAATTAAGCAGTGGTTTTCACTTTAGGCCGACATCCTTGGCAGCATTACCAGCTCACTAAGCAAAACAACGAATTATGATACAAACAAAAAAAACCATAGTTCCTCCTCAAAAAAACACTTCATTTCACAAAAGTTGTGTGGCAGTAAATGTAAACCACTTCTATCAATCACTTTTTATCCCATCTAACCTTTTCTCTGCAAAAAGTTCTAGCAAAAAAGAATGAGCCAAAGACAATTTACTGTCACCAGTGTGTAGAAAATCTCTTTGCCTGCTGCTGTCCGTATCTGACTCACAAATAGCAACAACTAAAAACAAGCGTTAGCAAACTGTTGAAACTAACAACCGCTCAATTCGAAAGAATTGAAGCCCGCCAATTCAGAAGATCTGTACGAAAATGGCGCAAATTGCGTTCGATTTTATCGTTGCGAGTCTCAGTGCGGTCATTCACGGCTACCTTATATATAGAGGACCAGCGAACAGTCTGCAGTCAGCTCATCGCAATGTCAGGACGTGGTAAAGGAGGTAAAGGCCTTGGCAAAGGAGGTGCGAAGCGGCATCGGAAAGTTCTTCGGGATAACATCCAGGGAATTACAAAGCCTGCAATTCGTCGATTGGCACGACGTGGTGGTGTTAAGAGAATCTCTGGTCTTATTTACGAAGAGACTAGAGGGGTCCTTAAACTTTTTCTGGAGAACGTCATTAGAGATGCTGTCACATATTGTGAACACGCAAAAAGGAAGACTGTGACGGCAATGGATGTCGTTTATGCCTTGAAACGGCAGGGAAGGACGCTTTACGGCTTCGGCGGCTAAATGTTGAGCCAACGATGCTATATTTTCTAACCCAACGGCCCTCTTTAGGGCCACAATTCTGTAAACTGATGTTACCTGAATTATAGTATTGTAGCTTGTGGTTGTGTCTGTAATAAACCTTGGGAGTTTGATTGTGTTGTCACAGCGTGTTACACTGTAGCTTGGTTCTAGCTAGATCGGAGAAGTGAATTGTTGCTCAGGTGGCATGGGATGATGGGAATATTGGAGAGGCTGTATATGTCATTCTTCCTGAGTGCCGGTCAGAGTAAAAGTCAGTGGGTTTCTCTGGCTAGTTTGGCCTGCTCGGATTGTGAGAAGAATTTGATTTTGAATTCCTTTATAGATGTTTACTGTTAGAATTGGAGTTCGGAAGGCGTCTCATGTGTTCCAAAAATTATTTGTGTGGGTGAAAGGAGGGGAGGCTAGTTCATTACCCTTCAAAGCCGTCAGGTCTAACAGTACTGTCGCATCAAAGGTGTATTTGCAGAAGATCGGTCACAAACGTGTTTAAACGTAGCGAGTTCTAAAAGAATTTGTTCTGAGGTGCCTACGTTTACAGAGGTACGCAGATGACCTTGTTTTAGCGGTGGATGAAGGTCAGATTGCTTGCTCGCTACGGAAAGACTGAAATCGAAAGCTTGTGGAGTGATGTAATACGCAAGTTTTCTAAACATCACGAACCACTTCTGTAAATTAAATTCTTCGTCTTCTACCTTGTCTGTACAATGCGTTTAGACGTTATTTGCGCAAATATATAAATAATTATCAGGATGCGCACTGACCTACAGCATTAACTCTGTCTTACTATGCCACTTAGGTTTACCCCTAATAGAGAAAAAAAAAAGGTTTTAAGGTTTTGATCTGTCATTTCCGCGAAGCGTCCTCTGTGCCTTCCCACAATCACATTATTGTCTGGAATAATGAACCAGCGAACACCGCCAGCGATATTAACACCATTACTGTTAAAAGTGAACTTGTTGCTGTCGTTTAGTTCCAATCGTTGTTTTTTGAAGCGGGAAGAGTTGTTACATAAACGGCGTAGGCCCAGTAACCACTGTCATTCGCTATTTTCCATCGCTTTCTGACAGGTAAATTATGGCTCGTAGCAGACAAACTGCTAGCAAATTAACTGGTGGCAAAGCGTCGCGCAAACAACTGGCCACCAAAGCCGCTCATAAATCGGCTTCAGCGATAGGAGGAGTAAAAAAGTCTCACTGCTACAGACTTGGGACTGTAGCGCTTCGTGAGATTCGTTGGTATTAAAAGTCTACTGAACTGTTGATTCGGGAATTATCTTTCCAACGTCATGTTAGCAAGATTGCTCAGGATTTCAAAACTGACCTTCGGTTTCAGTAATCTGCGGTCATGGCGCTGCGATAAGGCAGTAAGGCTTATCTTCTCGGTCTCTTCAAGATACGAATCTTTGCGCTATTCATGCAAAGCACGTCAGTATTACGCCGAAAGATACGGAAGTGCACACCGGATTCGTGGTAAAAGAGCTTTTATCCGGCAGAGATGGATGTTATAATGTGTGGCATCTCTTCTTAACCCAACGGCTCTACTTAGAGCCACACTTCTATAAATCAGGCGTTTTCAGTCTTGGATAACAGTTCTCATGGTTTCAAATTCAACTTTTTTATTCTCTACTGTTGCACGCTGAGTTCGTGGTTTGGATACTATGTTTTCTTGTCGACTGATTTAGCCATGATGGTAATGGTGAAGTGCTTTTGGTGTCACATTTGTTGTTTTGAAGTATCATTTCTATGACTAAGTGGTTCATATAGAGCCTGTTCGCTAGCGAATCACGCAAATCTTTTAGAGGCATTTTTTCCGTAACTCAGTTTGAAACGTTTTTCTCCTGCTGTTTTTATCGCTGTTAGTCAACTGGAGTTTTTTTTAGGATCTGTGAGTTACAGAAGAGTTTCTTCTGACGCAGTGCATTTCTCCACTGGTGTCGGTTTTACGTGCAATTTTTTTTCAAATTTGAACAGCAAGTGTTTTTTCACGTCTTTTAAGGGTGTTGAGATGTGGAAAAAAAAGAAAGCAATTGATTTATTTTGTTATTTGAGGCCGCTGTGATACTTATTTTTCCAGGTTTAAGTTTGACTCTGTCGAGCGTGTTTCTTACAGCTTCCATCCGGTGTGAATAGCTACAAACTGTCCTTGAGGCACCTTGAAATTTGCCTTTCCTGAAATGCATTTCTAACGTTCACCAGCATAATAGCTTACGATTTGATTTTGGGGATGTCACTCCATGCTCAACGGATTATCAGAGGACTGTTCATTGTTTAAGGTAATTATTCCTCCCCTATTCAAGTTGTGCTTTTAAGGTTTTTTTCAATCTTTGTGGCGCTGAAGAAGGAATCTTCTGACTCATTTTACGCTCATTTTATTTTGTCTTTTGTGTTGAGAAAGCTTACCATTGCTTTGTACGGTGACGGTAACGCCAGTACATGCATTGTTCTTTTTCTCACCAGTCCAGACATCGCAGTATGTTCCTGCTGGCATTCCAGTTGAAGCGGTACTATAAGTCCACACTTATCACAGAATTTGGTAATTGCCTTGTCTTCCGCATAGTCTTTTTTTGGCAATTTTAATTTTTTGTCTTTCCTTTTTTTATTTTGCTTTGTTATCAAACAACTTACAATGACCAAACTCCGTAGCCATTGTTCAGTGCGAAGTAACCTTTGCCTCCCCGCCCGAAAGCCAAACGATGTTGTTCGTATTTCTCGTTGTCAACTCCAGTTCCAGTAACTTCTTGTCGGAATCTTGCCATACCTCGGATTGCATACCAACGGTGTTCGCATACCCATCCAGAACTTTCTTCACATGTTTTGTACTGCTGGTTAATGACTGGACTTGTGGTCTGCAAATTAGACCTAGTTACGTCTCTGAAAAAAACTATATACTGGAAAAGGACATCAGTTTTGGTCAATGTGTACCGCATAGTTAGATCCAGCAGGTGGTGATTGATCGCTGTATGAAAAGTAGTAGCTGCTCATGACTCTGGGGTAACCGTAATTCCAGGCGAGCATAAAACCAACGCTCATTGCATATTGATCTCCACTCTTGTATGTTGGTACGTAGGGGCTGGAATCACGTTGGTTGTCGTGGTTGTCAATGAAGGCTAAGACGTCGTGGCTGTCAAGGTTGCCATAGCCGTAACCCTTTCCGAAGTACCTCATGTCACTGAAAGTCGGGATTTTGGAATAAAGTTTTCTAAAGATCTTTTACTTGATGTTGTGCTGTATCAAGTCAAAAAGCTTTTTTTTGAAAAGATTTTTTTTATGTTGAGCCGCATTTAGTTTCCTGAATTTTGCGAAAGTTGAAGACCTGAAATCGATCTGTTTCCACGCTGCCTTTGCCACCGTTGATCCGTAGTTGAAGTCTGTGTAACGTCCAATGTCAATATATTCATTACATTTAACTGCTTCACCACCGCGATCTATTACCTCATGGACAATAAATGGTCGTTTGTTGGCACCAAAAATCTGAAGTGAGGATCTTCATTGCTGTACCACCTATAAATCTTATTTCCAAACTTATTGGAGATCATTTTCGACGAATGAAAACACTTACATCGCTACGAACATTTTTAACGCCGTCAACAATTGCTTTCAGATCTGCCGGCCACATATGTTTTGATGCGTCAAGTCTACAAGTTGGTAGTGTTTAAGATTGGTGTATTGTATGTTTTACTTACATTGTGATACTTACGAGTTCGTAAATTTTCATTTACAGTTGCTCATTCATATTGTACTGAACTCATCGATGGTCATTCTCTCTAAATTACTTTTATTATTTTGCTCACCGGAATCCAGCCACGCCAATGTCAATCAGTTCATTCATGTACGCTATGACCTTTTTGCGCACAAATTCGTGCCCCTGATTTAAGTCTAGAAGGCCAGTAAGACGGCAGTTTCTAACCTGAAATGTTGGAACTTCAATGTTTTGGATTGTCTTGGATTATTAGACTCATTTGTCAAAATGTTCTGTTTAGGTTCCTCACTCTTTCAGCACTTCCTTGGTAGTCTCCGCGATTGATATCTCCGTGACATCGCCAGTCATCAAAATGATCTTTCGTGTACCCAACGCCTGGGAAATTTTCAACTCCATCGGTGCCATCAAAGTCGGAATCACCTGAAGACTTGACGTTGTACGCACCCTTCTTCTGACCGACACCAACCATGTGGTTGAAGACACCGTCTACTATGATCCTGACGAAGGAAAACGTTGCAGGCATTCGTATACCTTTATGCTGGGTGAGTAAAGTAGTAGCAAATATTTTTACCTGACACCGACTTTATTACATCTCTCAACCATGCTGATGAATTCTGAACGAGAACCGCTTCTACTCTGCAGTTTGTAGCTGACAGGTTGGTATCGGACCCACCAAGGTACCCCATTATTTTTGACTATCCAGAGATGTTCCATGGGTGGCGAGATCTGCAGTTTAGAATGTGAAAGAAATGCGTGTTGAGGTAACTCAGCTTTATGCATAATTCTTTGTGTCTGGTCAGGTAATGTCCATTTCCTACACTTCTTAATAGTTGATTTACAGTTATTTGTATATATGTTGAACATTTTTCTGTAATATATTAGCTCGAACTAGATGTTTTTTAAGTCCTTCAAAGTTATGGCATTCAGTAACTTGAACGTTTTTCTGTACCTGAACTGCTCCATATCCGTAGTGTTGCAGAAAGTCTTCACATTCCTTAGCTATATCATTCCACTTCCACTCGAAGAGATGGACCATAGTTTGTCTATTTGGCAAGGTGTTTGGATCATCGTAACTGAAGGCACATTATAAAGTGTCGCATGATTCAATAAGGAGGTATTGTTGCTATTATTAGTAGTATTAGTATTGTCATCATTGTCAATACTCCTATCATTATCATCAACAGAAGTACTAGCAGTAGTAACAAGAGCAATAGCAGTATTCATTGTTTTTCAAATTTTGCGGGAGAAAACTTAAACATTTTCTTTAATATAAAAGGCTGTCGATAGAGTTCCCATCTGTTTTTGCTGGTGACATTCACTGAGACTTTTGAAAAATCTTTTGCACGTGAATTTAAATTTTGATTCAATTGTAAATCAATGTGACTAAGTCATTGTGTAATATAGCAAAAATTTACTTATTAGTGGATGTTACTCAACTGCGTAATTGAAAGAATGAAAAAAAAGTACAGTTATACTAACATTTATAATATTTGTTTTTTTTCCACATTAGAATGTTTTTCTCTAAATTAGTGATTGCTGTTAGGTTGCAATTCTATTCTTCTAATATTAGCTTTATTTTGAAGTATTCAGTTTTATTATTACTAAGATACTTTAAACGTTTACACATATACTCTTTAGTTGCTACTTAAAAATAAACAACTCAAGAGGTTCTTTACAAACAGTCAAAGGTTCTTTACAAACAGTCAAACTTTTATTGCATCAAAGGGGAACTAGAAAGGTACATTCGAACACCGGAACAAAACTTACGTCTCGTCAGCCCAGGAGACTGCGATCAGGGCACCAATAAGGATAGCTGTAAGCATATCTAAATCCGGAAAAAAATTATTTAAAAATCTTTAGAATTATCTTATTATGCAAACGACAAACAGCTGATTTTAACAGTCGCAATTTTTGTTTGCATTTCGCCGATAGTTGTTAGAGGACTTACTGTTGGGTTGATTAGTGGTGCTAAGGCAACTGCTTAAAAAACATCAACTGTCAAAAGGGAGTGAGATACTATTTTTGCATTTATATCCTAGTTCTAATACACGTGACAGTTACTGTAATAAACTTTTATTGAGTCTACAATTGTTCTCTGAATCATTTTCGCGTAGGATGATCAGTTTTTAATTGGTTTAAACTACAGCGAGGTGTTGAAGGTGGACGAGTGCAGGATTTTTTGGCATTGAAGCAATTTTGTTTGTGGGCACATTTTTTGTGTATGCCGTTTAGTACGCTGCGTCCATTAGTTGGAATGATCTGGAGTAATAAGCAGAGGAGTAGGTTAGTCAGCTTTTATAAAGTATGAAAATTGATTTTTAGAAAGTAGCAATTTGTAACATCTTTGCTATTAATAAATACTGATAGTTGGGCAGTGCCGAGACAATTATTATAGCTTATGTTATTCAACTATTCACTGGTAATCAATACGAGAAATGGTTGCTTACAATTACTGGAAATGGTTGTTGCTAAATTGGTGCAATAAGGGTCAACATCTAATACGCAAAATGGTCTAAAGAAAACTTCAGACAAAAAGGCTTAAAAACAGGTTTAATTAATTGGCGATCATATGACTAGTACAAAGTAGATGGTAAGACGATAAGTTCTGCTTTTGTACATCAGTTCGACAGTATATATAGTGCCGTCTGTCGGGTAGTTTGTGGTCGAAAAAATTATAATGCACGTTTCTTCTAGCATGTGCTATTTTTGCTTTCGGCACGTTTAATTATGTGTTTACTTTCATGC